TTCTTCATCCCCTACTCCTCCTTCTCCTCTCCTTCTTTTCCTTTTCCACTCTTCCTTCATTCCTACACTTCTTTCTCCTCTCATGCTTTTCCTCCTCCACTCTTTCTTCATCCCTACTACTCCTTCTCCTCTCCTACTTTTCCTCCTCCATTCTTTCTTCATCCCCTACTCCTCCTTCTCCTCCCCTCCTTTTCCTCCTCCCACTTCACTTTTCCTTCATTATTCCAAACCTATTACTACATGCGTTTTTCCTATCTTTTCTTTTTAAACTTCATTTTGCATTCTTAAACATTTCATTTCTTTTCTCCTTTCTTTGTTTCTAAAGCTGGCCGTCATTCATCCAGGACATTCCCCTTCTTTCCATTGCCTACCCTATTTTCTCTCCCATTTTTGAGTGTTTCATATCTAATTCCATCCTGGCTTGGTGGCTCCCAGTCAGTGAACTCGAGCAGATGAGAGACATATATTAGGCTTGAAATTGACCAGACGGAAAAAAGATCTGAAAAGCCATAAATATCAAGATGGCAGCCAAGCTATGAAACATGAATGGCGAGAAACAAGTAAAAATGTTTGTTCCCAAATGGTTCAGCTGACTTGAACATTCTCTTCACTTTGCTTAGAATAAAAACAGAAGAACAAAGCCAACAACACACACACAAACATATGCATATTTACTTTCATACACCTATGTACATGATATTAATTTCCATATACCTTTTTGAAATTATATAGGTTTTTATATATATATATATATATATATACACAGACATGTAATTTATACCTCTCTTTCTCTCTCTCTCTATATATATACATACATATATATATATATATATATATATATATATATAGTTTTTATCTGTCTCTTTTTCTTTCTCTCGTTCTCTCTCTCTCTCTCTATATATATATATATATATATATACACAGACATGTAAAGTTTGCTTCTCTTTCTCTCTCTCTCTCTCTCTATATATGTATATATATATATACATACATATATAGTTTTTATCTCTTTTCTTTCCCTCATTCTCTCTCTCTCTCTCTATATATATATCTATATATATATATATATATATATATATACACACACATACATATATACACACACACACATACACGCACACAATAATGAAATTGATTAAGTCTGACAATCATTTAATATATTCTCTGTTCATATGCTATTTCTAGAGATACAATTTATTTCAGTAAATTCTCAGTTTTGAATTAAACAGTATTGATTACATTTACTTACCTGAATGTTAGAGAAATTTCATGGATAATATGCATTCTTCGACAGGAATTGAACCTTTTTTCCTATACGGAAACAGTCATTTAATGTATATATATATATATATATATATATATATATATATATATATATGCACATTTCAGTGAAAACGACAGACAAGGTGCTTTTATTTAGTTTTCTATGCAATTTCTCATGCAATCTAATAATTTTTTTCTTTTCAGATGATAAATTATATAAAAACTGTCCTAATGTTCTTTTCATCCAAGCGCTTTTGGCTATACATTTAGCCATTTTCAAGGACTATATTTTAACTGTTAAAATAAGAAATAGTTTGCTGTATGTATGTTTTATAAAATTTTTTTATTTTTCAAAACATTGTCAAGATATTATGTCCATGTTCAAAGTTAATATTATTAAGTGTTGGGTTGTTTGTTTTTATTAATAAGGCTTCCATTATTTTTAGCCTTTTTTTTTGCATGTAGATGATGCTATTATATTAGTGTCTGGTTAGAAAGGTCCAAATTCCGTTTTTTAAACACATACTATTTAATGATTTTTCTCAATCGATCATATCTGCCCACGAAACATATCTTAACATAAACAATGACAACACATAATGAAATGGTTTAAGTCTGACAATTATTTAATATATTTTATGTTTATACATTATTTTTATAGATACAATATATTTAAGTAAATGCTCAATTTTGAATTAAATGGTATTAATTACATTTACTGGCCTGAATGTTCAAGAAATTACGTAGAAAATATACATTCTTTGACAGGAATTGTACCTTTATTTGGTTAGTAAAGTCCAAATTTCTGTTTATAAATATAGGAATACAGGTTTGATTCTTGTCAGAGAACTTATATTTTCTATGAAATGTCTGGAACATTCAGGCCGATAAATGTATTTAATATCATTTAATTAAAAAACAAAGCATATAATTAAATGAATTTTATCTATAAAGATAACATATAAACAGAAAATATATTAAATACATATACATATAAATGTACATACTGTTTATCTCTTTTTATTATAAATATATATATATAATATAAAAGGCTCAAACACTAATATTCCATGGTTATAAATTATTACATTGGAATCTTAATCTTGATCCAATTCATCAGACCTATAAATTCAAAAAGAATGTCCTATAGTCTGATGAGACGAAATTTAATTTGTTTTGTTCTGATGGCCTTAAGCATGTGTGCCAGCGACCAGGTGAGGAGTACAAAGATAAGTGTGTCATGCCTACAGTCAAGCATGGTGGTGGGAATGTCATGGTCTGGGGCTTCATGAGTGCTGCAGGTATTGGAGAGTTACATTTCATTGAGGGAAACATGAACTCCAACATGTACTGTGAAATACTGCAGCAGAGCATAATCCCCTCCCTCCAGAAATTGGGTTGCAGAGCAGTGTTCCAGCATGACAATGACCCCAAACACACATCCAAGACAACCACAGTTTTACTGAAGAGGATGAGGGTAAAGGTGATGGACTTAGCCAAGCATGTCTCCAGACTTGAACCCATTAGAACATCTTTGGGCCATCGTCAAGCAGAAGATGGAGGTGCGCAGAGTCTCAAATATCCGCCAGATCCGCAACGTCATCATTAAGGAGTGGAAGAGCATTCCAGTGACTACCTGTGAAGCTCTGGTAAACTCCATGCCCAGGAGAGTAAAGGCAGTTTTGGATAATGATGGTGGCCACAAAAAATATTGACAGTTGACATGTTGTATGTAAATATTGATAACTTTTCCTAAGGAGTGTAACACTTTTGTTGCCAGGGATTTAGCTTTTAATGGCTATATTTTGAGTTATTTTGAGGGAAAAATAAATTAACTCTGTTATATATGCTGCAGACAGGCTACTTTTCATTGTGTCAAAGTGTCATTTTGTCAGTGTTGTCCCATGAAGAGATATACTTAAATATTTGAAGAAATGTGAGGGTGTACTCACTTTTGTGATACACTGTACTGTATATATATATATATATATATATATATATATATGCATGGTGGTATAAGGAATATCTTTATGATAAATAAGAATCCATGTCTTCATCCTACAGCTATGGGTAAATAGTAGGACAGACTGGGCCTTATAGGCTTGTTTGGTAACAAATATAGGAAAAGGAAAAATCTGCATTCAAAATCAAAGAAGGCACTAGGTCTCTGTATTCTGTTCTTTGGTTGGTTTTATACTAGCCTTCGTAATATGAGCACACAAAAAAATGATGCTGAAGACATTAGGTTTATCATACACAGATGTCCTAAAGGACACATGGCACAGTAGATAAATGTGTTAGTTAGATCCAGTGACAGGACCCAAAGAGTGTGAGTTCAATACTTGGTTAAGGCAGTGGAAATTAACAGGAGATAACTGATAACTGACATCCATTAAACATGGCACGTGGAACTAGAACAGTCTACCCCAGTGAATGAAATAAAGGGTTTAGTTCGACATTCCAATCACCTGGAGTGTACAACGTTTGAAACGTTGTAATAAATATGACGACAAAGATGAGGACAATAGTCAGAATAATGTAAAAAGCCTTCACCACTATAATCAAATTGTATATGTTCAGTTATAAGAACTAAACTGTTGTACCTTCCTACATTGAAGTCTATCACTCTTTCTCTCCCATCTTTGAGTGTTTCATATAAGTTTTTCTCTATATAGACCTATATACAAACCTATATATATATGTGTGTGTGTGTGTGTGTGGAATGAAAGTTATCCTGAATGGCCAATCTTCTAGATCCTTTTGTACTAATGCAGGTGTCCCCCAGAGCTCTATATCTTGTTTTAAATTTCCATTAACAATCTCCATGATGGTCTCAGCTTGATATCTATACTCATGACACAGCCATTTACTACTGTCATGATAGTAAGTCTGTCATGTTCAAATTGGTGGTTGACATCAAAAACAAAATTCAATCTGTTGTTAACTGGGGCAAAGGATGGGTTGTTAATTTTAATACCTCCCAAACTGAACTGCTCTCTATTAACAGACCCCTTTCTGTCTTCCATAAGCATAGCTGATGCTAACCTCCAGGAGAGTGACTAATAGTTTGTTCTCAGCTGACGTGAAGTAAAAAGACTATATTGCAAGGTCAGCTTCTAAAAAAGTTGGAACACTGTGTCATGCTAGACAATCTTCCTCTCCAGAATCTATCTTACTTATTTATAAGTCTACCATTCCCCCATGCTTAGAATATTATTGCCATATATGGAACAGTGCTCCTGCACTATTTTGAGAGATCCTTGATGAAATCCAAAGAAGAATCAGCAATATTAATCATCCAGATCTAGCAGCTCAGCTTCAGTCACTTTCCCATTGCCATAAGGTTACCTCCTTGTGACTTTTCTTTCTGAAAATGTATTGGTGGGAGATTAAATGAAATATACATACATTCTTTTTATCCCAACAGGACATAATTTCCAATCCCTTGTTTAAAAGGTTTTGGGGTCTGGAAATGTTATTATTGCTGACAAAAATTATCTGTTGCACTTATTCATTTATTTACTTTTTTTTAAATATATAGCATTCATAAATTTTTATTTTTTTTAAAAATAAAGTGTCAGTAAATCAAATGAATATATATATATATATATATATATATATATATATATGTATGTATATATACTATATATATATATATACTACATATGTATCTATATACACTATATATATATATATATATATATATATATATATATATATATATATATATATATATATGTGGTGTAGTTCAATTTATATTACAAAGAATCAGTCATAGAAAAAGTAGGTTATAGGTTAATGAAACTTTTAAAATTTTATTTGCAAAGGGATTTATCATTAACTTTAACTACTTTTTTTGTATAATGATTCATTGTAATATATATATTTATATATAAATATATAATACATATGTATACTATATATATATATATATATATATATATATATATATATATATATATATATATATACCAATTCTTTCTCTTTCCTTCAAAACCCTATGTC